GTTGCTTGTTTTTCACTTAGAAATTTTAATACCATGCATTTCACAACATTTCAGAATTATGGAATAAGAATAATTCTCTTCGGAAAGCGCAAAACATTTCCTTAAATGCACATCTTGTTTACATGAAAAATTTTGAAAGAAGAGTAAAAGTAGCGGACGTATTTCTCATTTCAAATAATAAGCTGTTTCAGAAATTTTTATTCCAAAATATTTTCTCTTTTTTTAATACCTTATCGAAATCGTCCTAAAATATGTAAACAGCCTCTAAAATTTTAGTGTTTTTTTTCTTTTTAAAATATGAAAACAACCATTTCTTCTCATTGGGTGATTCTTCAAAATTTGTATGTAGACCAGCTTTAAAATTAATTTTTTAATTGTTAAGAATTACATAATCTCGCTCATTGTAAAGCTTTAAAACCTATATTTTTCACTGTATTCTTCAGTAATTCAAAGGCCCAGTTTACTATTTTTAAAGAAAAACAAAAAAAGAAAAAAACTACGAATTTTGATATTTTATTCCATAATTTTACATTTAGGATTGAAAAAGGATTATTAAAAAAGGACTTAGGACTGAAAAAAGACACACACAATTGAAAAGACACAGACATTGCAAAATGACAGACACGCTTAAAAAAAGACACCGAATATTAAGAGAATTTGATGCTTCCCTTGAAAGTAAAGACCCAAAACATGTGCTTAATATATATGAGTCGTTATCGAAGCTGCAAGTTTCATTTTTTAAGCGAGAATAACCTTCCATAAAATGTTTCTGAAGTCTTTGTTAAAAGTTTCATCAGTAACTGAATTTTTACTTTTATTTCTTTTTAGCCCAAAGGGCGTTAGCCCAGAAGGGCTATTAATTTCAAAATGGCATTTTGCTTCGATTCACTTTTCAAACTGTTGCCACCAAATATTATCGCTATGTATTATACTTGAAGAAACTAAATAAGGAAGAATCTGCATGAATGTTTCTCGCATTGTGAAAAAACAATGGTATCTAGAGCCATCGAATTTTAAATAACGTAGTCTTCCAACAACCAAACATGGGCACTTGGAAGCCCGAATTTTGAATTTCGAATTTGTTTTATTATCTACTTAAAATTTTGTAAAACTTTAACGTATTTTTGATTAACAAACTCGACCATTTCAAAACGAGCAATGGCAACATTATATACCCCCCCCCCCAAAAAAAAAAAATTATATGCAGCGCGCGGGACTGTGTATCAGAAAATCTAAAAATATGCTGTTTTGCTGTTTTTAAGTATTTTGTGATATTGCTATTGAATTGAATTTTATGTGGTTTAAATGCGAAGAACATATTTAATGAGTAAAGGTAACATACAAAACGTTAAAAAAAAAGGCCGCTTTGAACGTAACGTAAAATTTGAAAGCTTTCAGATTTTTTTAATGTTTTTTAATTAAATGTATCATGAATTCCATGTATTTTAAATTAAGTTAAGCTGATTCAAAAGTATAAAAATAATATTTTATATTTACTTAATTAGCCCAAATGGGCTTTAGCTCAGAAGGTTTATTAATTTGCCATTTTGCGTTGGTTCACTATATAAGTCTGAATCACTTTCAAAATTGTTGCCACGAAATATCAGAGCCCTGCATTATATTTAAAGAAATTAAATAATGAAAAATCTGCATGAATGTATGTCTGTTTCTCACATTGTGAAAAAAACAACGGTACACAGAGACATCAAATTTTGAATGACGTAGTCCTCCCCTCGAATATGGGCATTTTGGAAGCCCAAATTTAGAATTTGGAAAATTGTTTTTATCTATTTCATATTTTGTAAAACTTTAACGAATTTTTTTTTTTTTGACAGACTCAATGATTTCAAGGCGTTCCATTAATATTAACTTCGCGCGCATATTCGAGCACGGACATTTTATGCCCGAGGTTTTGTCATATTTCTTACTGGTATTATGTTGGTAGCGAAGTAACGCAAAGACGTTAAAATGGCTAACGGTATTTTGCGTCGAATGACTTTGAATGTCTATCACTTTTCAAATTTCGTTTTGAATCCGTGAAAAAAAGCCCCTTTTAACTTAATATATATATATAAAAAAATTATTTTTAAATTTTTTTAATAGTTGCTCCCCCCTTCTGTGAATGCTTTTTACCTTTCCATTTCGGTAAATACGGCTTATCTACCCATTCACGCAATGATGATTTCTGCTACCGCATGAGATCATATGATAATGCTTTGTATCTAAACTGTATCATTATTTTTAGTCATTATTGTTGAAAATAATGAGTCATTATTTTTAACATGGCAGAAAACACAACAATAATAAAGATATTTGACAACGTAAATGTGGCACTCGGTTTCGAATTCGAATGATCTGCGGTAAGAGGCGGAATTGGTAAAACTCAGATTTTGAATCTTAAATTTTGTCAAAAGTGATTGCAAAGTGGAAAAATTAAGAAGCCTATAAAATAAAAGGGGAATATTATAGGAAGGATATTTGTATAGGAATTATTTTTAGGAAATACTTTATAGGAGATAATTGTGATTATGTTTTAAAAGCGACATAGGAATAAAAATAAACTTTTATAAAAATAAATTCATATAAGTTTACTGAACTTCTTGACATTGGGTACATCCGTTTATACTCTCTATACGCATTTATAAAAATTGCGGAAAAAAAGGTACTTACATATTATCAGAACCAATTTAGTAGAAACAGTCAAATTTTCAGAATGTGCCACACAGTAATAGTTATGCTTATAGAATTCTTCAGTCAAGCAATGTCGCCATTTTCGTATGCGTTCTTCTTAGTGTATTCGAAGTTCCAATAATTTGTATAAATTAATCCTGATATTTTTTGCCTTAGACTGAATTTAAAAATATGTGCTTATTGAATTTGCCAGCAATGGAAGAAACTGAGATAAAGTTTCTATAGTAATTCAGTATTTTGTAGAAAAATCGCTAAAAGGAACATTGATGAGAAGCGTTTAGTAGATAGCCGATGTGCGATGCCGAATTTGTGATACTCTTTGATGTTCTTTATAAAGCGAAAACAGATTGCCGTGTACACGGGGAAAACAGCGGAAAGAAATTGCGGAAGGACTTCGTGGAAAATATGAGTTTTCTTTATTTTTAATGAAACATTTAATCCTTATTTAATAATTAAAATTTGTATTTAAAATTGATAAAGTGCATTTTCTTTTAATATGCTACTAATGTTTGCAGATTTGCGATATATGATATTTTGTGAAGTTCTTAAAATGAATCGTAAAAACGTAAGTCACCTCCTCACCCCCCCCCCACAAAAAAAAAGGGTTTAAAAAAAAACCTTTTCCTTGAAAGATTTATACAAAGATGTTTGTATTAGATTTATCAGCTAAATCTAAATTGACTTTTAACTTACTTTCTTTACTCGTTTAAATCCACTTACACTGTAGATAATTATCGATCTCGCACTTTTTCACTGGAAGTATGGAACTCTAACAAATAGAGTTAAAAAACTAACCTAAAAGGTTTATTCACATTAAGGGGTACAGTTAAATCAGGTAGGTTAAAATATATAGGTACAGTTAAAATTTTAACAAATTTATTCACTGCTTTTTGCGGAATACTAAAAGAAAGTAAAATATGCACAGTATAATATGAATAGATCGCCGAAACACAATCATCGATCAAACTTAAGCATAAATTCCATCAAATGCCAGAACGAAGTGTCTGCTGTTGTTTTATACAGCGATTTGCTTTCGGTTAAAAAAAACAGAGCCTTGTACAAACTCGGCATCGCGCACCGCTGCGGCACATTAAACATTATATACTATATGACTGTTATTATAGGTTTAATGTTATTGTTAGAGTACTTAGGTATTAACGCAACCACCTGGATGCAATTGGGTGATTTTTTATAGACGAAAGGGTAAAAGTTACTTATCAGGTGCAAGTTGGAGGTTTTCGCGCCTTTTTTTTAGATTTTTTCTAAGATTCTCAAAGTATCGATATATCGTACGATGGTGAACATTATCGACATATCAAAAGAAAGCATACTTTAGAAATTTAAATTCGATAATAGGAATTACATGACACATTAAAAAAAATATATTCTGCTTCAAATCTTTCTGTAATTTTTTTGTGCTGTTCTTCTCCCAAAGTACGCGGAGATCTATTTTCAGTTAAAAAAAAATCAGACAATTGCGGGGCCTCCACTTCGTACAACCCTTGGCAACAGCGGCTTCGGAGGAAACGCATTTCCTCGTTACTTCTTTTAGAAAAATTAAAAAATTTCAGCAAAATTCTGTACTTCTGCAGAAAATTTACCACAGTTTCTTCCATTGCTGGCAAATTCCACAAGGTAGTATTTTGAAACTAAGTTTTTTTTTTTTCTTCTTTTCTTTACCTTCCCCCAGAAAAAAATATCACGATTTGTTTGTAATAACCGTTGGAACTTGGAATGCAACAAAAAAGAATCCATACGAATATGATGGCGTTATTTGTCTGAAGGATTGTTATGAACATGGTTGCCAAAGTTTGGCACATTCTGAAAATTTGGCGACTTAAGGTTTGTTGCGTACGTAAGTACCATTGTTAATATAAGCTTAGAAGCTTTACGTCATATTAGCATTGCTGCTATTTAGTTAGAATTCGCTCCAATATTGATGTCTGGCACTGAGTGGTGCTCGTTAACAGAGAAGTACCGTTTAATGAAATAGAATATTTGATAATTATCAAATTTAATTTCTAAATCGTGTTATTAGGTTTTCGTTCTGTAAGAAAATTCTGCTAATGTCATATTGCATTTGTTACAGCAGTTTGAGATAGCCAGAGAAAGTTTCTGTCCACCATTTTCGGCAAAGTCGCCATACAATGAAACTTACAGTCATGAACGGATAAGCGTCGCTTCACAACACAGTTACAGAACTTTCGTTTTGGTTTTATGTAATCTTATCCTCAATAAGCAAGGCTAGTTTGTGTAACGAAAGATTACTTCTCTATTTATCTATTGCATTTTGAAGGGGCGGATTAGGATCTCTCTTCCAAAGGAATACAATAAAAACGAGTCCTACTGGACTTTTATTCGGTGAGTACAAAATTCTTACAAAGTTACTGGATGTGAGATCTCAAATTTTTTATTTATTATAAGTCCAAAGGGGCAATTTGCCCAAAAGGACTATTAATTTCATTTTGCATTTATTCACTTTCTGCGTTGTTTCACTTTTCATATTCTTGCCACCATATATTATCCCATATATATATTTTCTTCATATATTTTCGGTGTCTTTTCGCACAGTGTGACTAGTCAAAAAGGTTTGCACCGAAAAGGTTTTTTTCGGCCCTATTTTAATAGTAAAAATTGGTTTTTTAACTGCATTTGGTGTTTAGGTTTTTCTGTATTTTACAATTTTTATAGAAAATGTTTTGAGTTTTTATGTATTTTTATCTCGTCCCGATGGGAGAACTGAATTCATCGAATTCGAAATATATCTTTAATGAAATTCGAAAAAGAAGTTTAAATGAAGTGCAGCCAAAAAAAAAAAAAAAAAAAAAAAAAAAATGTGCATAATTTAATAGGCCCTTTAAGAAAGTCATGTGCAGACCATATCAGGTATTTTAAAAAATATTCCCAAACTATCGATATTTGTCATAAGTCGGTAAACATTATCAGCACATAAAGTGAAAACATACTTTAGCAATTCAAGATACAGATTTGAATTATTAAATAATGATTAAATAATATATTAAAAATAAAATACTTACATTCGTCTTCAAATCTTTCTGTAATATTTTTGCACTCTTCTTTTCCCGAAGTACACAGCGATCTGCTTAGAAAAACCTATCAGAGAATTCTGAAGGCTCGATTTTGTGCGACCCTTGGCAACAGTGGCTATGGAGGGAACGCATTCTTTGTTCTCTTTAGAAAAATGTCAGCAAACTTCTGTATTCTTTCAGAAATTTCAACGCAGTTTCTCCATTGATGGCAAATTCCAAAACTCATATTTTAAAACTAAGTTTAAAGAAAAAAATATCACAATTTCTTTGTAAAAGTCGCTCGAATTTGGAATAAAGAACCCATACGAAAATGGCGGCGTTGCTGGACTGAAGAATTGTTATGAACAGGTAGTAAAGTATTTCTCCCGCCTTCTTGGCATGCCATCGTGGTGTAGTGGTCAGCACGCTCGACGCGAATTCGAGAGGTCAGTGGTTCGAGTCCCCGGCGAGGGCACTATTCATTTTTCATCTCTCTTCCTTTCGAAATAACCTAAGGTTGCCGGCCGAGTGGTTATGCACATGGTTGCCGGAGTTTGGCACATTCTGAAAATTTGGTGACTTCTACTAATGTGGTTACGTTAATACGTAAGTACCAGCTTATTTATTCGCAAAGCACTTGAGAGCTCTCTGCCTAAGGAGAGGGATGCCTTCATAGAAGACTTCCTAAGGAAAACTGACTCGTATACACGTTACAGATGGGAAAACAACGAAAACGTCCATGTAGTCAGCCAGCCCCCTTTTTCAGGGATTCGAACAAGGACCGAACTATCAGTGTTCAGCGACTTTATGTTTGGTGGACCGCAACATAAGAAGCTCTGGCTGCGTGATTTTAGTTCTAGAAAAGCAGAATTACCAAAACATTTTGCAAACTTTCATGATATAATTATTGTATTTGAGGATTTGTAATCTCTTTCTATTCAAAAATTTGTTGCTTTGGGGAAAAGGCACTGAAATCGAAACAAAATGTAATTCTTCAGTAGAACGTAAGTTACAAAAACATATCAAATGCTTTTTGATGCCACAAGTATATAACGCCACAAGGCAATGGGTGCATAATAACCAGCGTCCGCTACACATTGCTGGCGATTATAAAGGATGCGTAATCACAAAATTAATTAATTTTTATTCAGTAATTAAACAAGAACCTTTCTGATCCAGTTGTAGGCGAAGAAACATCACTAACCTTATAGGATTGTGTTCTCTTTTGGCCACATAAACTTTACTACTAGATCCTACTTAGGAACCTGACGATTTCTCGCACAGGCGTAAAGGAAACCAACACAGAAAGAAAGGGAAAAGTAACCCTTCATTATTTTTCAAACTCTGAACAGAAAAAGGCACGTACTTCGTGCTTACAATAACACCGACAACTTGCGGTTGAACTAAAGAATCGTTATACAATAAATTCAAAAGCTAAAGAGTAGTGCTGGACTAACACTTTAAGGCTAACTAAGTTGACTCACGAACCTACCCGGCTTGATAATTATTTAAATGTCCAAAAAGGCGTATCGGCAACTCCGCGTAACAGCAAGGACAGATTCGTAACTTGCCAACACCTTCTTAAACAGGTGTTTAAGAGGTTGTCGAACGTGCGCTAGCTAGCGAAACACGTTTTGAATAAACTCCAAGATTCATCCGCTTAAATACTCCCTTTACTCGACTTTAAATTTGCATCCTGGCGAAGAAATGCGAGGGGAAGTTGAGGAGTTCATAAATGATAACAAAAATTTGAATAATTAGTTAATTGAACTAAGGGAACCCTACAACCTTAAGTAAATATAGCTAGTTACTTATCTAAAATAACAGAGAAATACCGGTACTTTTGATTATTCATATCCTAATGAAAAATCAATCTTTAGCAACTTTGGAGTTGGCGAAAGTGCTTGTTTGGGTATCTTTACGACCCTTAGGGACGGCTCTCTTCATAAATAAGAATAAAAAGAAGTATTTTATAAAAAACAAGAAACTTTTTGTGAAAAAAAAATTCTGAATGGTCGATACTTTCAGTTTTACAGACGGAAGGAAAAGCTGAGAAGCGAAATGATGGTTAAATATAAAGCGTGTAAGTCCATACGTTCTCAAATACGTGTAGGATATACAGAGTAGGTTGGGTATTGTCGAGTCTGTACTCTAACGTATGCCAAAACTTGGCAATTCTAACGGATGTTGAAATCGACGATACGGTGGGCAACGCACAGAATTAAAAGATGGCATACTGATTGAATACAGCTTCGAAAAGAGTGCTGAAACGAGCATTGTTGTCAATGAACTGACCGATGGGAGGCGGAGAAACAAAGAATACGGACTCTCAGTTGTCCTAGAATATTGTGAGCCCGGTCTGGGCACACCTAGTGTTCGCCGTTTGATTTTAAGCAAGATTTCAAGGTAAAAATTTAAAACTAATATAGAATAAGGAAATTAGCATACAGCCAAAAAAAATAACATAGAAATTTCTTTTCAAACAATTCCTTTATACCCTAAAAAAAATCTGGAAGATTTCTTTGAAAAATGAGGGTCTTAAAAAACTAAACATGTCTAAAATATATGGACTGGTTTGTGTTGAGCTGCCATCTACTATAAATAAAGAAGGTTCAGAGTAACCTATAGTAACCTTTAAATCCTTTTTCATTCAATTTTTCTGTGCGTACAGAAGGAAATTTTTAGGTGTGTCCAGATCGGACACCCTGTGCCGCAAAGGGTTAAAAAATATGTGTACATTTAAATCCTGCTGAAGTGAATCCGCCAGATATAACGAACTCTGCAAATATTTTTAACTGAATTTTTTTTCAAAGTGTTTTCCAAAATTTCTGCTATTTTCGACTGAAAAATTATTAAATTTCAAATTAATCCTGGTATTAGAATAACGAAAAGCCCTTTTTGTTTTACAATCCTTTCATCTTTACCCTCACCTTTCTTTGTATTCAAAATAAAAGACTAAGCGAGGTAGGTGTAGTTCTCAGTTCTTGGTAAACCAGGACTCATAGTAAACATACCTTAGGAGCGAGCAACAAGGGGGTTAATAGTCAAATCAATAACGTACTCGCGGAACTCGAACTATCATAGTAGTGGGCACGGTGCCCACTACTATGATAGTTCACCACCAGGGTAAGAATTGAAATGTTCGAGAGATGCATGCAAGTTCATTATAAAAATTCACATGTACGGGAGGCGGCTTGGAAAAGGAATAACTCGACACAGGGAGAATGAGCACAAGGTAAATGTGATCAGAATAGGAATTTGAAGAATACGTTAATATAGAAAGATAAACATCCATCAGCTACATTTATGACATGACATCTACATTAGGTTACTAAGAATGGCCATATATCTCTTGACAATTTCTGGAAAGCAGTTGTTATAGTTATATATTGGGATAATGCTACTGTTATTTCGCATAAAAGTATTTAAATGAAATCTGTGTGCTATAAACTGATAGTAGGCATATTGCTATACACCCAGTTAAAGACTTTAATATGGTTAAAGTTTATCTGATGTACCATTTTCAAGCTCCAATGCTTGTTTTCCAGGTTGAGTTACTAACGGATAGATCTGAGCGCATGTATGATGCTGAGGAATTATTAAGTTTCGGGGGGGAGGAATTTCTGTTGACTCTTAAAACTTCAAAGGCAGTATGGCTTAATACCATAAAAGTGCCAACATTTTCATCATTCGTAAGATGTCTTAATTGACTCCTAGTTGTGCGAAATGTGCTTTGTCTCACAAAAGTTCTGATTGGGAGGTGAAATGGGTTGAAAAGTTAACCTGCTGCAATTGTCGGCATAATCAAGCTACTAATTATCGAAAATGGCCCAGGAGCGCCTTAAACTTTAATATGAAATATTAAGAATGTCGAATTTTGCCAAAATATGCGCAAATTGTGCAGTAGAAAAGCAAGAAATAACACTATGACACTATAAATGATGTTTAACGAGCTTGGAAAAATTACTCAAACATGTGCAAATTTTGCAGTAGTGAAACAAGAAATAACACTGTGACACCACAAATGATGTCTAATGAGCTTAAAGAATTACCCAAACATGTGCAAAATTTGTAGTGAAGCAAGAAGTCTTATTTTTCAGGCAAAGGCTTCTAAAAATTCAGGAAGTAATGTAATTACGAAGGAACCTTCTTGAAGAGCTTCAAAAATATATTTAGTGCTTTTAATGACATATTCAAAATATTCAAAGAGATTGCTAAAATGTTTTCTGAATTCTTTCTATGTAATATAACTATTGCAACTAACGATACAATAAAAACTCTTGCAGATCGAATAAATGAAAAAGTGTTGAAGAACCAATGAACAAATTATTC